CAGTTGGCAACCGTGTGTTGCGGGTCGTGTGGATGAACTCTCCAACGCCTACACACACGATGATGCCCACATGGCACTGAAAATCTAACAGATTTTTTTAAGATTCATGTAAAATAAAATCAACGTGTATCAACGAGTGTGGGTAAAGTGTAAATATGTCACACATGTGGGCGTTAATATTTTTAATTAATTTTAGTGCGCACCAAACCGAGAAGAGCTAGGGCAACTTCGCCGTTGACAACGAACCCAACACGACCTGGCTTATACTCCTCTCAAAAGTCCTAATTGCCACCAACTTTTTATTAAACGTGCGTCGCTCTCGCTGGCTCATGTCGACCGGGCGAGGCACGGCAACATCAGCTCGAGAAGAGTAAACAAAAATATCAAGTCGACTCTCTCAAAAAAAAATCAAGTCGACCACGTAGGAAGGAAGCGACGAACCCGCGGCGCCATTTCCTGCGTCCGTCGCGTCGGCACGTGCCGGTTCGCCGCGCTGAGTGACGGCGCCCAAAAGCCACCGAATCTTTGACAAAACCCCGTGCCGTTGGGCCCTTTTTACTGCGCCTGCCCCTCCCCGTCTCCCTTTATATACGGGCCCTGGCCTCTCTCGTTCCCCCACACCACCAAAGCCCACCAAGCCTCAAACGCCCACGTTGGAGCAGTAGCAGCAGCACAGAGCCAGAGCCAACCAGCCGTTCGATCGTCCAACGCAGACGGATCCGATGGCCCTCGCTCTCTCCGGCTCCGCTGCTGCCCGCGCGCTCGCCCAGCGGCTGGCCCCGGCCACCGCCAGGGGCTACGCGGCGGCGGCCTCCTCCGGGGCGATGAGGCGCGGCGCCGCGGCGGCCGCGGACGGGAAGGCGGCCAGGGAGGCCGAGAAGGCCGCGGCCGACGCCTCGTGGGTGCCCGACCCCGTCACCGGCCACTACCGCCCCGCCAACCGCGCCGCCGGCGCCGACCCCGCCGACCTCCGCGCCGCGCACCTCGGACAGACCTACGCACGGGCCTGAAGCCCGGCTCCACTCGACCCTCCTGGTCCCGCCATGGAAAACAGAACTGCTACCGCTACGTAACGAGGGAAGATAGGGAAGAGGCAGGCGGGGCTCGTTCGCCGCGCGCGGCTGTGCGGCTTCACGACGCATCTCATCATCATCGATCCTATACTACGGGGGAGATGCGGCCTGGACGTTTGGCTGTTTCCCATTGTGTTTGTGTGCGTGCGTGCGTGCGTCTGGGCTTGGATGCTCAGATCAGATGTATTTTTGGTCGAGCAGGGCTTGTACCTTTTACTTTTACAGTTAGGTATTATAATAACAAAAGAATCCAGCGTTTTTCTTGTTCCTAAACAAATGTTTCTTGCGTTTTCTTGCTATCTGATTCATTCTTGCGTTGATCCTGCAAATGGAGCTCCAATAAATATTGAATCTGCAAATGAAGCTCCAATAAATATTGAATTCATGCTCCTAAACACATATTCATTACTGGCTTACTGCTATAACCTATATAAAATCATTTAGACGTCGGTCCTGCAAATGAAGATTCAGTAGTACGGGGGCAGGGCAGTCACAGCTCGAGCCGCTGTACAGCAACCGCGTCGGGACACGGTGAAATGTTCCGGTGTCACGGACGTCTGATGACGTGCACTGCTGCCTCAAACGCGCAACGTCAGCGTGTAGTTGTTCTTCTTTCTTTTTTCTCTTCAAATTTCACGTCAACACTGGTCGTGACATGTTGTATGTCATTTTTTAATACAATATGAATGCAGACACACTCATACATACGCATATACACAACGGCTTTCTCGAAAACACCTGGTCGACTGTCTCTAAAGCACTAGGTGCGCGTGCGTAGGCTAATTATTAGGTCGCGCGGCGTCGTCACTGTTTGTGAACACTTTCTCACTGCCCGAGCAACATGGACATTGCTGCGCGCAGGCGGCATGGAATCAGGTCGCTTCGATCGAACGGACGTCGCCTTGTACTCACGACGGCGACCGGAAAGGAAAGCATCGCGTCTCACGGCACCGGCCGCACGTCGACGTCACGGGCTCGAGTGCGTCTACTCATATGTGAACCTTGTCATGCCAAAACGTCTCTCCGTTGCTGCTAACTCTGCGTCAAATCGATTGATCTTTCTTCCGTTAAGAAAACAACTGATCCTTCGTGAGATACGACGGTTTAGTATAGCTGACCAGAAAACAATGACAAGGATTATCCCGCGCGTGGAGAACCCAATTAAGAAGACACCCCGTGCTCGCATGATGGCCACCAGGAACCTAGATCGACGAGATCTTGCACCAGAAAGAGCCAAAAACCTCGAGTCCCAGGCTCCCAGCAGCGTGCCAGTTTTTTCAAAAAGAGAGTACCCCGGCCTCTGCATCGCCATGCACACAGCCACAGCTGCTCCCCGGGTGACCAACCGCATGAACACACAACTAGTGCAGGTTATCCAGGGTGGGGCGTATGACTCAATACGACTATACGAGCAAAATGCAAATTCTGAATTTGACCATCCCACGAGGCCAGGACACTTGGCAAGTCAGTAGATCAGACAGTTTTTCGTACATTGTGGACGATGACCTCTCGCCCGATTTTGTGGCAATATTACAATGAGACAACGTCAACAACACCTAGCTGAAACAAAGCAAAACAAAGACATGATCTAAGATTTCACACCAACATGGAGTCGTTTCCAAATTTCTGATTTTCCAGTTCAGTTGCAGACGCGGATGAAAGAGGGGCACACAGGAGATTGACGCCAGGGGGAGAAGGGATCAGCTGCGCCCATCACCCAGACTTAAATAGCAAGACAGCTTTAGAATCAATGTAGAAATACACAAAGTAGTTCGTCTCGTGCGTCACGTAGGAACCTGCAAATGCGATGAAAAAATAATTAGCAACATTGCTTGCACTCGTATGTATCTTGTGTCGATAGCAAAGGGTCCGAGATCATCAGAGAAGTGCTGTAGATTATAACTAGTGAAAAATATTGATTCATATCATGCGTAGCTTCCAGCATTTTAACTTCTCAAAAGGATCTCTTAGGCAAACCAGCAACCAGGTATGGGGGCAATAGTTTATCGCCCAGGATCAACAAATGAAACTCAAGACAACAAGTATATATAAGTAAAATACACCACTAGCCTCTTAAGTCCTAACTGCAACTCACTATGTAGTGTGGGAATGAAAATGGGAGGCAAATGGGGAGTAGTCAGTTTAAGTTATTATCTTTCAATGTTTTAGCAGCTAGCTGTTTCAACATATACCCAATCTCCCTACACCAACCAAGGGAACAGCTTAAAAAAAGAAATGTAATTATGTTCCCATCGTTTTTCAGCTCGCTTGTTACATTCCCAAGCAAATACAGAACTCTCTACAGTTAACCACAATCATACTGAATGGTTCTTTCTTTGGAGGTTTTTAACCTTCAGCCCATGGGCCCACATAAACTAAAGTCCCTGGATGGAACATACCAAAACAAATAATAACTCCAGTAGGACTGACAAAGTGTTTAGTATCCTCTTGACTGGTTTGAAAAGATGACACCCCTCTAAGAAAATCCACAAAAGCAATGCAAGACAAGAAATACACACAAGCTAAACCTTGGGAATTAAACAAATAAACACCAAAAATGGGCCAAAGAGAATATACTATGAGCAATTCACCCAATCATACTTATTAGATTGACTGATGAAATTAGTGAATCAAAATCTTTCTACATTTTCTACAAGACTGAGAAGCAAAGGTAAGCTTTCTCTAGCGTCTGTACAGCCAACTAGAGAGCCCTGATATTAACAAAATTTGTTCTTTCACTTTAGGATTTAGTTTTTGGGACATAATCACCAATACGACATGGAACCACGAGATCATCTAAAGGTCATGACATGGGATTTAACAGCTGGTATTGTGTCAAATGGAGCACCATTTATTGTTGTTGTTGTGGTCACAAACCAAACACCCATCTACCTTGATCAAACCAGCCTTACTCAAATGGTGGCAAACTGAGGCAACCATAGTGGCCAATCAAATAGGCCTAGCTCCTTTCAGGGTGAGGAGCGTAGCAAGTAATAAAAATCAATATAACAAAAGTAGAGCCATATTTGTTCCCTTGGTCCCCCTCTCTGTTTATTGGAAAAGAAAACTTGATGTGTTGCTAAAGTTTAGACTAACATCCGTCTACCTTGATCAAACCAGCCTTACTCCAATGGTGGCAAACTGAGGCAACCATAGTGGCCAATCAAATAGGCCTGGCTCCTTTCAGGGTGAGGAGCGTAGCAAGTAATAACAATCAATATAACAAAAGTAGAGCCATATGTTCCCTTGGCCCCCCTCTCCGTTTAATGTGTTGCTAAAGTTTAGACTAACAAAAAAGGGCAGCCCCAGTGCATGTAGCTCCCGCTTGCGCAGGGTCTGGGGAAGGAAACATTGATTTGCAACCAAGATGCGGGATTTCAATAATCACAGCAAACACAAATGAGACGACTCTCTTGTCATGGGCCTAATGGCTATCATTGTTGTTTGGTCAGTGCCAGCTAAAGAGAAAAAAAACATGCATATCGACCATACGTGCAATAACTTAATGATTATCTGTATTCCTGATGCGACCTTCTACTGTAAAATGATCTGGCTTGCAAATAAATACTGTCAACAAACTCTAAGAAATCTGGTGAAATGAAACGGTTACCCCTCAGCTGAAAACACAACAAACTGAGTTATAGCTACGGAAAGTTGGATCTGGTTGATACCAGCGAGAACCTGAGCAAATACTTACATACATCCAACGATGAGCCCTATGAGCGAGGAATCACACTACATTAGCACATCCTATTTCCTAAGTGCCAACTTGCTTTTGCGTTAACCTAAAAGACATCAGATGATTTATCCTACGGCCCTTCTATTATTATTGGCCCTTCTAAGTACTTCTGAAGTACATAATCTAAAGGGTCACTCACTTATGCGGTTAACTTAGCATTCTATTGCTCCATCTGACATCCACAGAAATTATACCTCAGTCACTGTCTCCCCCTAGGAGATATATTCATCAACAGAAGTTTATGGTCGCCTCAGAAGAGAAGAAAATGGTCACGCTCAAGTAAGCCAAATCACCCGAAAGTACATCCACCACAGACGCATCCTCCGTACAAAGCTGTTTCGAAAAGAAATGGGGGAAGAGAAGAGATTACCGAAGTTGCGGCCGACGATGCAGTGCCAGGTGGGGCCGTGGTTCTTGTCGAACTCCTTCTTGATGTACTCCGCGATGTCCTTCTCCATGGTGTGCTTCTCAAACGCCTAGTATGCAGAACAAATAAATAAATAAATTCCCCACACCCAACAGCCCTGTCAGCCACGCTGGGACAGCGCGGCGGGACCAAATCGAGAATCCAATGTGCAGGGAGAAGGGGATTACGACGCGGGAGATGTCGAACGCCTCCTTCTGCATCTCCTCCTTCATGTCGGCGCTCTTGAGCGTGATCTTGTGCGCCGTGGGCGACGCGGCGGCCGGCGGCGGGGAGCCGAGCGCGGCGGTGGCGGAGGCGGCGAGCCTGCGGTCGGCGTCGGCCGGGGCCCGCGTCGCGTAGGGCGCCGGGTGGGAGGCGGCGACGGCGGCGGCGCCCGCGATCCCGCGCTTGAGCTCGTCGGACATGGCTGCGAATCTCTGGCGTGGAAGGCAGTGTGGCTTGTGGAATCTGTGGTGGAAGCAGTTGGATGGAGGAGCTCAGCGATTCCTTTCTCCACTCCGCCCTTTTCAAAGCCGACGGTGGCTGCTGCCGTGCTGCTTCATCATTGTACGGGAGGCTGAGCCTTCTAGCGGAAGCTAGTAGAGGGAAGCGGAACGCGCGGAACAAAAAAGTAGGGGAGGTAATGGGCTGCATACCTGAAGCACGCAGGGGTCAGCCCATACCCGAGTTACCGTAGCTACTACTAGCATGTGATTTGTTTTTTGGGTTGTTCTAACACTTTCTTTTAGTTCATTGTTTTTGAGATAGCTCACCACTCATGTCAAGTGCCACACTTTTTTAAGTTGTGAAGATTCGCAAAACAAAATTTGTGAAGAATATTTGGAAGTGCAAACTTTTTTATAAAATACACGGACATTTATTGGAAAACCCGAAGATTTTTTTAAATTGGGAATAAAATTTTAAAACACAAACAATTTTGAAAATCCAAACATTGCATGAAATTGTGAATATTTTCTAAAAACACAATTTTCTTTTAGAAAATAGGCAAAAAAATTTGAAAACATGAGCATTTTTTGAAATTTCTAAACAAAGGAAAAAAACTTGAAAAAAACAAAGAAAACCAGTGAACAACGCCAAGATCATGGACAATCTGCTTCCCAGTTTGTTGATGGTAGTGTTAAAAAAAAGGCGCTATTGTACAATGTGAAGTTACTGGCAGTTCAGCATGTTCATCAACTACTCATGATACACCTAGCTACACCAGAAACTAACAAATTTCCCTCTGCAGGTCAGCATTGGAACGGTTGAGTTCCAGAGGCAGCGGAGCCGTACATCCCTTTCAAGATTTTCACGGCAAAACTCAGCTGCCCTAGAGGCAGAGGTGTTTCAGAACATCTCACACAACTGCTTCAACAAGCCTAAAGTAAAACACAAGCCTTCAATGGAAGAGTTTACGTTATTTTTGCAATATTTTGTTGTAAGTTTGAAGTTGAACTTAATTTAGCAAGTCAAGCAATTCTATTTGCCCACAATAATAGGAAACTTCACCCTGCCCATATTCTTCCCATATGTTTGTCCACTACCTCAGTATGAACCTAACCAAAAGAAAAAAGAGGTCCAAAAGACAGACCCGAATAAAGAAGAAACGGTAATCTGGTGGTTTTTTCTACCGGTTTCAGCTGCTAAGATTTCACTGCTGCCCACAGGTTACACTTCCCTCTGCATAGAAACAGGAGGACATGAGAGTTCACAGAAATTCTTCTGTGACAATCAGACCATGGTTTTATTTAGAGAAAATTCAGTATCATGGCATGTGTAATCGACAACTTATAAGTACATAAACAGCACCAAAACAAGTCGGTTCGCCGAGACTCTCTTGATAATCAGAACTTGCTGAAGAACTCGCAGATGTAATCTGAAACCTCATTAGGCTTCTCCTGGTTGCAGAAGTGACTCACTCCCTCCATAACAACCACATCCTCCAGATTCGGCACGCTCGCTTTCAAGCCACCCTTGTGAATGTAGTCTTTCACCCCCGGTACACTGTATGTAACGTCAAGGTCCCCAACGATGAATTTTGTTGCTATTTTTATTGGAGCTCCAGTCCATGGTGCAGAAAGCTCCCAATTCCTGCATGAACACGAAAGTAAGTTGAGCCAGATCTAACGCCTGCGTTAACTCTGGCAAAATGCCTTCACCCATAAAACTTATGAACTGAAGTTGGCACAATCAGATATGTAGTTACATACATACGTACATACATACATACGTACATACGTACCTACGTGACATACACACATATACGTACGTACGTACATATACGTGACATGCATGCACATACATACATACATACATACATCCATACACACGCACACACGCACACGCACGCACGCACACACACAGAGACAGATAGATAGATAGATAGATAGATAGATAGATAGATAGATAGATAGATAGATAAAATTGCTAAGAAAGAGCATGTTTCTGTACATTTTGCCACCAGGTTCCTAGTCTTTGTAGGTTACGACAACTAGCATTTAGGATGCAATTCCCCTCATCTGATAACTCGAAAGCATAAAGTTATGCAGTACAGAGTATATCATCAGTAACCAATTGAAATGAAGTAACTTTCCTGGCTAACATTAGTAAATAAAGCACTAAATTGTAAAGCCAAGACAGTGAGAATGGGCCGTAGGTGACATACAAGTCCATGCATCTGTAGTAGTTAAGCCCTCCTGTAAACCCTGTCTTCTCAAATTTGTCTGCATAGTAGGAAATATCTTCTTCAGACAACCATGGAGGGCAAGTACCATCCGAATCTAGTGAGTCAAAGAAGGTCTTGTCCTTGGGTAGAATAGGAGGAGCTGGTTTGCGCATTCCAAAGACCGTCTTAAACTTATGACTATTGTCGTATAGAGCAAATTCAGCTTCAGCGACTCCAGGCTCCTGCATGCATAATTCAGTAATGCATATGAACGACTGTTTCCGACAAACCAAATTTGAAGCGATGTTGGTGCAGAGGAAAACTATATCTAAGAATAAGCAATTAAACAGCAATATCTAGTACTGTATCAGGAGATACTTTTAAACCTGAGTCTGCAGGTAGGAATTGTTGAAGTCCTATACTCGAAAAAGAAATCCAGGCGATGACAAGATAGACAATTATAATCTGTCAGTCAGTTGAATGTTTTTAAGGCTAACTGTAATCACTGTAATACTCCGTATTGTTATTTACAGCTCTGCAAAAGGGATGTTGTTGTTAAGAATATGCAACTTGTATTCCCATGGGGCCATAGGCCAGTATATATACATGTACAGGTGCAGGTAATATACAGAAAACCCCTTATACAATGGGGTAAAGACAAAAGGAAAAGGCTACATGGATATATAGATATAACTCTAACACCCCCCCTCAAACTCATGGTGGATAAACAATACTGAGTTTGGAGAGATAGAAGCCATGCTGTGCTCTAGTTTGGGCCTTCGTAAAGAAATCCGCCAACTGTAACTCGGAAGGCACATACTGAAGAGCAATAACCCGATCCCGCACACCAGCGCGCACATAAAAAGCATCAACACCAATATGCTTGGTGAGCTCATGCTTCACAGGGTCGCGCGCAATGCTAATAGCACCTGTACTGTTGGACAGTAGAAGAGTAGGTGTAGTGACAAAAACACCAAAATCCTGAAGCAACCACCGTAACCAAGTCACCTCTGCCGTCAAAAGAGCCATAGCTCGCAACTCAGCCTCTGCACTCGAACAGGAAACTGCAGTCTGTTTCTTCGTCTTCCAGGCAATGAGAGAACCACCAAGAAAAACACAGTAAGCAGAAAGTGAACGGCGATCCGAGGGATCACTAGCCCACGTAGCATCCGAATAGGCCTGAAGCTGTAATGAAGCGGAGCGAGGAAACAACAGACGGTGAGAGATCGTGCCTCGAAGATATCGAAGAACACGAAGGAGGTGACTGTAGTGAACCGAAGTGGGAGCAGAGACAAACTGACTCAGAATATGGACTGGATAAGATATATCCGGTCGAGTGACAGCTAGATAGACAAGACTCCCAACAAGATGACGATAACGCGTCGGATCAGACAAGGGGTCACCATCAGTATCACGGAGGTGAACATTGAGCTCCATGGGAGTCTCAACAGTGCGCTCATCAGTGAGAGCAACATGAGCAAGAAGATCCTGGATATACTTTTCCTGGGAAATAAAAAAGCCATCAGAGGTAGAAGAGACTTCGATCCCAAGAAAGTAGCGAAGAGGGTCAAGATCAGACATCAGAAACTGCTCACTAAGACGGGCCTTCACAAAGGCAATGTACTCAGGGTCATCGCCAGTGATGATCATGTCATCAACATAAAGAAGAAGAAGAGTCCGACCACGAGCAGAAATGTGGACAAATAACGCTGGATCATGATCACTCGCCGAAAAACCAGCGGCAGTCACCACAGAGGCAAAACGCTCAAACCAGGCGCGAGGGGCTTGCTTAAGGCCATAGAGAGAGCGACGAAGACGACAGACCATGCCATCAGGAACAGAATACCCAGGTGGGGGCTGCATGTATACCTCCTCACGCAGCTCACCATTAAGAAAGGCATTCTTAACATCAAGCTGAGAAACAGACCAATGGCGAATAGAGGCCACGGCGAGAAGTGTGCGGATAGTGGTCATATGGGCCACAGGAGCAAATGTCTCATCGTAATCACGACCATGCTCCTGCTGAAAACCACAAGCCACAAGACGAGCTTTGTAACGCTCAAGAGAACCATTCGAGCGAGTCTTAACCTTCTAGACCCACTTACAAGTGATGGGACGAACACCGGGAGGAAGAGAAACAAGATCCCACGTGCCAGTGCACTCAAGAGCAGCAAGCTCCTCTGCCATCGCAAACTGCCATTCAGGATGTACAACAGCATCGCGATAAGACGTAGGCTCAAGTACAGCCGAAAGAGCATATCGACTAGGAGAATAGCGGTCAGGGGGAGGGCAAGGCCGAACACGAAGACCATAAGTCGGCTGAGATGAGGAGGACGACGCACCAGAAGTAGATGGCACGTCAGTGGATTTATCCACAACACGTGGACGACGAGTATAATGAAAAGGAAAGGAGGGAAGAGGTGGAATCACTGGAGGTGAAGACGGGGAATGTAGCGATGATGAAGGTGGAGAAGGGGAAGGTATCGGTGATGAAGGTGGAGTTGGGAAATGTGTCAGTGATGAAGGTGGAGAGTCATGCGATGAGGGAGGGGAAGAATCTGTAGGAGAGGATGGCGTCGGATCTGCAACAGCAGGACGAGGAATAGGAATACTGGGCACAGAGGGAGGCGTGTCAGGAAAAGTGAGGAAAGAGATATCCTCCACTGAAAAGGTCGAGGAAGATGGACGCGGGTAGAAAGGATGAGACTCATCAAAAGTTACATCCCGAGAAATACGCATCCGACGACCGATGGGATCCCAACAACGATAGCCCTTATGCTCGTCACTATAGCCTAAGAAGACACACTCAACAGACTGAGCGGTCAGTTTGGTGAGTTCACGAGGGGCAAGAAGAACATAGCAAACACAACCAAACAAACGAAACGTTGAGTAATCAGGAGAACGATCAAAGAGACGCTCGAAAGGAACACCGCCCTGCAAAGCAGTGGACGGCTGAAGGTTGATGAGATGGGTGGAAGTGGAGACAGCCTCGGCCCAAAAGTGAGGCGGAAGAGAGGCGGCGATCATCAACGCACGAGCCGTCTCAAGAAGGTGACGATACTTGCGCTCAGCCACGCCATTCTGAGCATGAGCACCAGGACAAGAGAACTGAGCAAGAGTATGTGACGCCCCGAGACCGATGTGCCAGGTGTCCTCCAGTTATTCGCTGTCGTTGCCATGTCATTTGCTTGCGTGTTGCATTTCATCATGTCATCATGTGCATTGCATCATCATGTTTTCAAAACTTGCATTTGTCCGGGTTCTCCTTGTTCCTTCCGTTGTCCGTTCTGAGTCCAGACACACTTGCACGCGCCCGCGGCATGTCCGAAATATTATTTTATAAGTGGCCGGAAAATGTTCTCGGATTGGGTTGAAAGTTGGCGTGTGGTCTTATTATAGTGTAGATAGACCGCCTGTCAAGTTTCATCGCAATCGGAGTCCGTTTGATGCCCCAACGGATAAATATAGCGGCAATAGTAGCCGGTCTTTTCGTCGGACGTTTTCGGTCCCCAAAAACCATGCCGGACTGCATCTCTCCCCTCTCCTCTCAGCCTAACCCTCCTGCAAAGCCCACTTCCACTCACCTGCAGCCCACCTACTCCATCCTCGCGACCGGAGCCATCGGATCGCGATCGGAGGGTCCGAAAACCCCCCTAAACCCCCTAACCCTAGAACCTGCCCTATATAAACCTCCTCCCCTTCCATTTTGGGCAGCTACCTACCCCTCCTCCTAAATTTCCGTGCCCCAATCATCCTCCAGCTGCCTCCCACCTCCATTCCTTGAAATCCGTGCGTGCCCGCTCCCCCGCCGCCACTTGTCGCCGCCCCAATCGCTGCGCCGCCACCAGAACCCACCTAAGCGCCGCTCCCCTCCAATCATGCGTCGCCACGCGTCCCCCTGCCTCCCACGCCGCCGTGGCCCGCCTAGGCCCGGGATGAGCCCGCGGAGCCCATCGGGGCCCGTCCTCGCGCTCGCGTCCTCCCTGCACTCCGTCGCCCGGATCCTGAGCGCCGCTCCTCCCGATCCAGCCTCCACGTCGCCGGTCGGAGGACCCCGCCGCCTCGACGCGTCCTCCGGTGACCGGACCTCGCCGGCGCGCCGCCATCTCTCAGGCCAGACCCGCGCCTCTCCCTTTCTTCTCCTATTTTCTTCCCCTCTCTCTCTCACCTGTTCCCTCTCTCACCAGGGACTGCTGCCGGAGAGAGCTTCCCGACCCACCGACCTCGCCGTCGCCGAGAATGAGGTCCCCGGGGCCAGATCCGCCTGGATCCGCCTAGGCCTTCCCGTCTCGCCTTGCCTCGTCTGCGCCCCGAAGCATCGACGTTTCGCCACCGCTGCCATGTCTCGTCTCGCCTCGGCAGGAGGTCGGGGACGATCCCTCTGCGCGTGGGCCCCGTCCAGCGCCCCATGGGCCCATGGCCTCCAAGGCCCAGCTTGCCCGTCGACCCACCTGACCGGCCGCCGGCCTGTCTCGCCTACTGGGCCTCGGTCCACTAGGGTGAGCACCCAGTCTGCCTCTGTTTCGGCCCATAAAGTTTTTTTCAGGTTCTGCGTTTTTCCTATTTATCCAGAGACGTCTGTTTTGCAGAAAAACCCTCTTAGTACATGCATATATTAACTTAATAACTAAGCATCATATGGAAAAACTTAATATATGAAACTTGCTCAGAATTTTGTCTAGTTTAATAATATGCAACTTTCATCGATGTTTAAAATGTTTAAAATGATGTTTGTTTAAATTTGCTCCTAGGCCATGCTAAAATGATTTAATTCATAACTATTCAACCGTAGCTCCGAATTGAATAAACTTTATATGGAAATAGGGTAGAAAAATGTCTAGTTTAACATGGTGGCATCACTTTGCATGTTTAACAACTATAAAAAATGGTTTAGGGCAGAACAGTACCAAACCTAATATATGCACATGGGGATTTACCGGCATTTGTTGTTCGTTGTTTCCGGCCTCATTTAACCTTGACTAGATAGGTAGTTTACCTTTGCTTCACCCTCTTGCCATGTTTAACAACATTTAATATTGTTGGGTTCATAAACAAGATCGAACTAAATAAGTCATGTGGTGTTTTCTTCAATATGCAACGGATCCGTTGCATATTGAGCTCCACTTAATTTGTAGTTTTGTTTGTGCATTTTGCCATGCCATGCCTCTTTAAACCGGACATGCATCATACTCGATTGTGCATCATGCCATGTTATGTGATGGTTGTTTTACCATGTTGTATGCTTCTTTTCCGGTGTTTGCTTCTTCGGGTTGGATCCGGTAACGTCGTGTTGTGAGGTTTCGTTCGTCTACGTCCGTTTGTCTTCGTCATGGACTCGTTCTTCTTCCTGGCAGGATCTCAGGCAAGATGACCATACCCTCGAAATCACTTCTATCTTTGCTTGCTAATTGCTCGCTCTTTTGCTATGCCAATGCTACGATACCTACCACTTGCTTATCATGCCTCCTATATTGTTGAACCAAGCCTCTAACCCACCTTGTCCTAGCAAACCGTTGATTGGCTATGTTACCGCTTTGCTCAGCCCCTCTTATAGCGTTGTTAGTTGCAGGTGAAGATTGAAGTTTGTTCCTCGTTGGAACATGGAGATGTTGTTCCTTGTTGGAACATGTTTACTTGTTGGGATATCACAATATATCTTATTTAATTAATGCATCTATATACTTGGTAAAGGGTGGAAGGCTCGGCCCTATGCCTGGTGTTTTCTTCCACTCTTGCCGCCCTAGTTTCCGTCATATCGGTGTTATGTTCCAGGATTTTGCGTTCCTTACGCGGTTGGGCTATTATGGGAACCCCTTGACAGTTCGCCTTAAGTAAAGCTTTTCCAGCAATGCCCAACATTGGTTTTACCATTCGCCACCTAGCCTCTTTTTTCCCTTGGGTTTCGCGGACTCAAGGGTCATCATTATTTTACCCCCCCCCCCCGGGCCAGTGCTTCTCTGAGTGTTGGTCCAACTTGTCAGCCGCCGGTGGCCACCAGGGGCAACTCTGGGCTGGCCTACCGGAAGTTTAGACAATCCGGTGTGCCCTGAGAAAGAGATATGTGCAGCTCCTATCGGGTTTTGTCGGCACATTCGGGCGGTGTTGCTGGTTTAGTTTTACCCTGTCGAAATGTCTTGTTGTACCGGGATACCGAGTCTGATCGAAATGTCTCGGGAGGAGGTCTATTCCTTCATTGACCGTGAGAGCTTGTGATGGGCTAAGTTGGGACACCCCTGCAGGGATTTGAACTTTCGAAAGCCGTGCCCGCGGTTATGGGCAGATGGGAATTTGTTAATGTCCAGTTGTAGATAACTTAAACCTTAACTTAATTAAAATGATTCAACAGCGTGTGTTACCATGATGGTCTCTTTCCGACGGTGTCCGAGAAGTGAACACGGTGTTGGAGTTATGCTTGACGTAGGTTGTTATAGGATCACTTCTTGATCATACTTTTATCGACCGTGCTTGCTTTCTCTTCTCGCTCTCATTTGCGTATGTTAGCCACCATATATGCTAGTCGCTTGCTGCAGCTCCACCCCATACCTTTACCTTACCCATAAGCTTAACTAGTCTTGATCGCGAGGGTGCGAGATTGCTGAGTCCCCGTGGCTCACAGATACTTCCAAAACCAGCTTGCAGGTGCCGATGAGACCGTGCAGATGACGCAACCAAGCTCAGAAGGAGCTCGATGAAGATCTTGTCCTTTGTGTTGCTTCGTTCTAGTTGATCAGTAGTGGAGCCCAGTTGGGGTCGATCAGGGACCTTTGTCGCATTTGGGGTTATTCTTTTATTTTGGCTCCGTAGTCGGACCTTGTTTGTATCTGGATGATGTAATGATTTATTCATGTAATTGTGTGAAGTGGCGATTGTAAGCCAACTATGTAACTTCTTCCCCTATTTTATTACATGGGTTGTGTGAAGATTACCTCACTTGCGACATTGCTTTCAATGCGGTTATGCCTCTAAGTCGTGCTTCGACACGTGGGAGATATAGTCGCATCGAGGGCGTTACAGAGTACCCTACTCGGCAAGAAATCCACGCAACATCTTGGAGATATACTCTCAAGCAGAGTCAGCACGGAACACACGAATAGGCGTAGAAAACTGAGTGTGAACCATGGCAGCAAAACGCTTATAGATAGATAAGACCTCACTACGAGAAGACATAAAATATATCCATGTGTGTCGAGAGAAATCATCTATAAAGATAATATAGTAGCGATCACCTCCCTTCGAGGCAAAGGGAGCTGGACCCCAAACATCAGAGTGAACAAGGTCGAAAGGATGCTGAGACACGGTCTCGCTATGAGGATAAGGTAACTGGATCTGTTTACCGAGACGACAACCTTGACAGTCTAAAGACACACCGCCGGAGACGGATCCAAGAAGACCGCGTCAAACTAAAGAGGAGAGACGAGAGCCACACAAATGACCAAGGCGATGATGCCACTGCTGAAAAGAGCTGGTAGACAAGGCAATAGAGGCGGAGAGACTGGCGGTGGTAGCAGCGGAGGGTAGGTGAAGCCAGTCAAGCTCCCAGAGACCCTGAGTAACGGCGCCGGGGGCCAGCACCAAGGAGAGCACCGGTATGACGGTCCAGAACGGAACAAGAGTCAAAGTCGAGAATGACACGACAACCAGAGTCAACAATCTGGCCACCAGACATGAGCTGCATGGTTAGTCGGGGAACATGAGCAACATCAGGAACATGAAAAGATGAAGTGCTAAGAATGCCCCGGCCAGTAACCGGGAGAGAGGTACCATCAGCAGTAAGAACATGAACAGGAGAATCGAGAGGTCGAGTAGAGGACAGGGTGGACGAATCATGAGTCATATGAAAAGATGCTCCAGTATCAAGAATCCACGGAGATGTACCTGCTTGTGTAGAAGGTGGTTCCACAATGCCAGAAGAGTCGGTAGCAGAACCAGCAGAACCCGTCGATGAAGAACCAGAGGACACAGCTAGCAAGCATCGAAGTCGTGTAATCTCCTGCTCAGTCAAGGGCTCAGCTGAAGAGGTCGACGAAGATGCACCCGGCAACAAAGAGCCGGAGGCAATCAGCAGATCACGAAGTCGGACAATCTCCTGCTCGGTGAAGTACATAGCCGAAGTAGTTGGCGCAGGATCACCGAAAAAGTAGCGCCCACCACCATCTGTGGAAACCGCTAGAGGAGGCGGTGTAGCATGACTAGTATCATCTGCAGAGCCCGAAGGTGGAGACGAGGGCGCATGCAGACAAGCCCCAAGCGCCAAGGGAAGGCGCGTGTGCGAGGCGTGGTCGATGGAGTCATCTGCACCAACAGAGCGGGTGAAAGTCGCGAGAGGAGTCGGTGTAGAGCAACAATCACCGTGCGTGGAAGACGACAAAGAACATGACATCACGGTTGGACGAGCACCAAGCACCGAGAGACGGTGCATGTGCGAGACGGGGTCAGTATAAGGGACGCCGTCGAAAGGCAACCGGCAGCAATGCCCGCACATCTGCTCGAACAAAGTGACTTTTTTTTAAGCCTGTCAGGCTGCCAACCGGTCAAAGCAGCTGATCAGATTAGGAGTAGCAGCTGCACCACGTAGTGGACCAGATCAGGAGCAGCAGCAACACCACGTAGCGGCAGGAAGCAGCAGCTGCACCACGTAACGCAAGACAGAGCAGCAGAAGAGACCAGCTGGGCACACGGGCGGATCGAGACTTGCGGCTGGATCAGGGGAGAGACCGCGGTGGATGGGAGTAGAGCAGCGGCGGCCGCCTCGGCGGGAGTAGCGGAACGGGTGGAGCAGCGCAGCCGGAGAGGAGAAACGCAGCAGCGGCGTGATTGGATCTGAGCACGAGTTGCGCGTGCAGAAAAAAAAAAACCTAAGCTCTAATACCATGTTAGGAATATGCAACTTGTATTCCCATGGGGCCATAGGCCAGTATATATACATGTACAGGTGCAGGTAATATACAGAAAACCCCTTATACAATGGGGTAAAGACAAAAGGAAAAGGCTACATGGATATATAGATATAACTCTAACAGTTGTGTGTTCCCTGAATTTTTTTTTGTGCTTGTTACAGAGATGTTTTCCCCTATACTTACGGATACACGTTCAATTCCTTGTGTTGCTAAAGATCAAAATGGATTAAAACAAGATCAAATCATCTACATCTGCTCACATATCAGGCATTTGTCATGTCAAACATGTGATGTGGCCTGAAAGTGAGCAGACCGCCATCACCGAGTGAAATCTTTATAACAGTAAAGATATAGATCCATGTTGTTGTTTGCAAAGCATGGTGTCTTTCAAGAAAATGCTTTTACTTGGAGCCTTGCACACTCCATATCTTGAAAATGCGATATTGTAATTTTTGGGTTTCAACAAAAGCACAATGTCAATAAGAACTAAAGTTTGTTACTGAAGATTTATAGTACTTAAGGTACTCGGGTTCCTAACCTGATAAGGACATAGGTGTGATTGCATAGCAAATAAAGCTTCAACAAATAAATTTGGCATATTTCAAGAAACAATGGTTTTACCTACTATGTATCTCAGGAATGCGATAATGTTAAGTTACCAGCTTCAAAAAAGACAATACGAAGTATCCAATTTCAATTGAACCAATAACTCAATTTCCTTAGTGAAAAACACTACTCAACCTCCAATCCAATATACCGATATTTCTTGTTTATTACCATTTCTCCATTGTTATCTATCTGGAATTCCGAAGTTCGAATAATCTAGTTTGGTTCGATCCCTTGGTAAGCATCACGAACAGCCCACCATGAAGACAATCGTCTAACATACGAAATTATGCCAACAACAAATTGTTTTGCCACGACCAGTAAACAGACCCCTATCCAATAAAGTCGTCAGGACAGATGAACACAACTCATAATGACATTGATTCTGTCTGCTATAAGCAGGACAGAAAGGAGATGAAGGGCTCCACCTGGAAACGGCACATGTAGTGGTCTTCCCCGCACAAGGCCCTGACGACCTGGAGCGGGCTCCCCTCGGAGCTGCGCGGGTGGTAGGCCACGCTGAGGTTAACGAGCGCCCGCACAAGGTCCGGCCGGAGCAGGCAGAGCTGCCATGCCACGAGTGCGCCCCAGTCGTGCCCAACCACGAACACCTGCCACGCGAACCCGAGAATCGAACAGCAATCTTAGCAAGGAGCATGGCCGGCGTGGGGGATCTCGAAGGGCGAAGGGGTTCGATGCTAAGACCTGGGGCTGAGCGAGGTCGGCGATGAGGGCGACGAGGTCGCCGACGAGGTGGAAGATGGAGTAGGAGCCCGCGGAGGGCGGGACGTCGGAGTCGCCGTAGCCGCGCATGTCGGGCGCGACGGCGCGGAAGCCCCGGGCCGCCAGGGCGACCATCTGGTGGCGCCAGCCGTACCAGAGGTCCGGGAAGCCGTGCACGAGCAGCACCACGGGACCGTTCTCGGGCCCCACCTCCGCCACGTGCAGCCGCACCCCCTTGGCCACCTCCACCATCCGGTGCCGCACCCCCTCCGGCTCCATCGCTGCCGCTGCTTCTCTCGCGCTCGTGGCCCGCCGAGGGATTGACTATCCGGTGGTTTTGGGGTAGCCTGCGCGCGCTGCTTCGGGTGCGTCGCCGGCCGCTGGCTGTGTGGCTAAACGGGCGAGGATTTCGTGGCTTGTGGGGGCGGCCGGACGGGCGCTGGCAAGAGGAGTTTTTGGCAGCTTGCCGAAATTTCGCACACCTTGGACTTGGATACTTGGATTGGACATTTGGACTGGACCGGGTGTCGCGGCTCTCTTTCGTCGTCGTCGTTCGTTAGTACCAGTAGACTTCAAGACTGCCGCATATGCATTCAGAGGATCTCAACAGCCGCGCGTTAAAAAAAATCAGAATACAGCATCGGGAGAGTCAGGTTTTGTGCGCGGCGATTCGCTGGCTTCAGCGACCGTCACAAAATAAAGCACGCCCAAGTTGCTTCAGCAGGCGCGCTATATTTCATCTTTTTTATATGAATTGTGATTCGATACATATTTAGTTTCAATAGTACAAATATGGAGATAGATCGGCATATAGCCTGCTTCTACGATACAAAATAGTACATAAATAGTTCATAGTCTTCTCCTAGCCTGCTTTTACGATACAAAATAAAACGAAAAACTACTACTACTCGTCATTCTCCGACTCAGACTCTGTCTCGTTGATGTCCTCCTCCGACGTCTGAGCGTAGGCGTCAAGGAACCACTTGTCGTTGGAGTCATAGGACGACGCATCTTTTAGCTTGATGTTGAATTTAGCGAACGTGGAATCGTCGCGATAGGCGGCTCGCTCCTTTCCGCCCTCTCCGCCCTCTCCGCCCTCCTTTCGGCGAAGAACTGTTCCTCGTTGATGATGTCTTGCGGGAAGCGTTGGCTCCACAGCGTCATGGCTTCCTCGTCCATCTCGGCTAGGCTGAGACGGCGCTCCCGCCTCCGGTTCTTGCAACGATCCTCGTCGGTGATAAGCCGCGGGAAAGGCGCCAACTCCAGTGCCCGCTCCCGCGTCACCACGTCGGTGAAGTTCATGTCCCAACGGGATCACCGGAGGCGCCACGCCGCAGCGTCGTACGCGCAGGCGCCATCGAAGGTTCCGAGGCCGAGACGCACGCCGCCGCCCGACCGAATCTCGGCGGAGTAGGTGCCGGACGGACGCACGCGGACGCCGTGGTAGCCCGAAGCTCCCCGACAGCGAGGTGGCATGGTGGCGCGGTGGTGTCGTGTCGGCGGCGAGGAGAGAAAACGGTAGAGGGAGCGAGAGAGAGCAGCAGAGGGCGCTGTATAGGCGCGTCGGACGCGGTGCGCCAAATCTAGCGCGAGAGTTGCCGCCTTTTTCCCCCGCCGGTTAGTTTCCCGCCACCGCTAGAGCGCACGAAAACGTTTCACGCGCGCTAAAAAGCCAGTTTACCGCGTGTGCACGTCTTTTGACGCGGCTGTTGGAGATACTCTTAGAGCATGGTTAATAGTATAGCCAGCTGTTGGCCATATGATCTTGCCACGTCATCTATAGTCAGCCTTATAGCCGACAAGTATAATAGATGCGTATAAATTTGTACTATTTTATTGATACATGGTCCACCTCTCGCTCTCACAGAGTGTCTAGGAGCACGTGCTACAGTCGGCTGTTAGTGAGTAGCTCACTTCTCTTCTCTCTCCTCTTCTCTCTCCGCTAACTCATAAAAATTATAATATTTAAAGTCGTACAGCCTGCCTATGTCATCGTCTTGTACTTGCTCTTACGGGTCCAAATTGCTACTAGCCTAAGAGCAAGAGCAAGAGCAAGTACAACAAGGTATAGTGAGTAGGTTGTAAGGAATAAACTAAGAGCATGGCTAATAGTATAGCCAACTGCTGGCTATATGGTGTTGTCATGTTATATATAACCATCACTTATAGCCACTCATACAATAAGGTTACCTATAAGGTTGGCTATAAGAGTATTATTTTTTCTCGTCTTCTTTCTATCTCTTTCTTCATATTTATTGTATTGGCCTAGAAATCTGCATATAGCTTGGCTCTTGCATGAGAGTTCACTCCCCTTACTTTTTCACGTATCTCTTTTTCACATAGGCAAAATTGCCATGTAAGCAGGCTATAAGTCTGCTATTATACTTGCTCTAAGCAGGCTCTGATGCAAGAGCCAGCTACAACACATGTTGCTAGGCACTGTGTGAGAGTGGAAGGTGTGGCATGTACTAATAAAGCAGCACATATTTATAGCTAATTGTTATACATGTTGGCCATAGGGTTGGGGTGTAACTATCACACATGCTCTGCTTGGTTAATCTTTTGCTTTTGTCAACTACATCACACACGATTTGATGAAGAAAACTGTGTGGCATTGGGCTATCCATCACAAGCGCTTTTACTGCTAGAACCATTTGCAAAGTTCCATGACCCATTTAGCAGGTTTATTAGTTTACAGTTAATAATTCCAGTATTACGCAAATTCACATTTCATATCGAACAATTGTTTTCCAATTTCATATCAGGCACATAAATATATTTTAACATCACAGTACGATAGCTACCTAAAAAACAACACAGTACATTATATAACTAGTTCAATTTCTTAAGAACAATATTAGAACAATATATACATTTCCCTAATCGAGATCATCCAGGAATGTCTTGTCCACCTCTGCTTTTAGTTCAGTAAAAACCTGTTTTGCACAGTCCAACTGGAAAGTGCCTCCTCCTTCGCCAACACCATCTTAGCAAAGTCTGATTTAAAAAATCTGAGCTCATTCTCCACCTTCCTCTTTTTTATCCCGCATCTTCAAATATTCTTCAACGTTGACAATACTTTCTCTATGCCTACCTCTGTTCTCTTTCTCGTACATGCTCCAGAGCTTTGCTAGACACATCTTCAAAGACTGTGGCCACTCTTGATCAACCCACTCCAAGTAAGAACACTTTCGTTCATCTTATAATATTTAAAAATGGACCAGTAACAATTGTAGGGGAAATGGGTTTATAGCAACATAGAAAATCATCAATACTTATTTTGAAAAACTGAAGAAACAAGTTAATTATGACATATCTTCTCAAAAAGATCAATGTGCAAATGAATTAATTGCTACTGAGACAACAACCAAACTCTGAAACATCAGAAGCTATAATTAACTGCAAGAACGCTACAAGTTCTTACTCATGTAACTATAAATAACAAATTGAACATTTTATGAGAAAGGTAAATATAACTGCAACAACATAGCGATAGTGTTTGGATGACAGCCAATTGATACTAACAGGTGTGTACATGCACTAATTTAGTAATATAGAACTAATAGCACTAAGTCCATCCACTATGTATGCCAAAACTGGTGTAAAGACAACTGTTGCTACATCTCGCACTGGTGCCCTGCACTGGCGAGCCGATGCAGTGGAAAAAAATCAGGGACCCAGACTCCAGAGCACCTAGTTGCTCTGATACGCAGTTCCTGTTGGGGAACGTAGCAGAAATTCAAAATTTTCCTACGTGTCACCAAGATCTATCTATGGAGAGACCAGCAACGAGTAGAAAGAGAGTGCATCTACATACCCTTGTAGATCGCTAAGCGGAAGCGTTCAAGTGAACGGGGTTGATGGAGTCGTACTCGTCGTGATTCAAATCACCGATGATCCTAGTGCCGAACGGACGGCACCTCCGCGTTCAACACACGTACAGCCCGGTGACGTCTCCCACGCCTTGATCCAGCAAGGAGAGAGGGAGAGGTTGAGGAAGACTCCATCCAACAGCAACACAACGGCGTGGTGGTGGTGGAGGAGCGTGGCAATCCAGCAGGTCTTCGCCAAGCACCATGGGAGAGGAGGAGTAGGAAGAGAGGTAGGGCTGTGCCAGAACTTCGTGTATAGCTCCCATGCGCCTCCCCACTATATATAGGGGTGGAGGGGCTGGTTTCTTGCCCTCCAAGTCCATTGGGGCGTTGGCCAAGGTGGGAGGAAAGAAATCTCATTATTTCCTTCCCCACCGATTGTTATCCCCCCTTTTTAGGGATCTTGATCTTATCCCTTCGGGATATGATCTTATTCCTTCTAAGGGGGGATCTTGGTGCGCCTTGACCAGGGGTGTGGGGCCTTGCCCCCACTATCCACGTCCATGTGGGTCCCCCCATGCAGGTGGGCCCCACTCCGGAACCTTCTAGAACCTTCCCGGTACAATACTGAAAAAACCTGAACATTTTCCGGTGGCCAAAATAGGACTTCCCATATATAAATCTTTACCTCCGGACCATTCCGGAACTCCTCGTGACGTCCGGGATCTCATCCGGGACTCCGAACAACATTCGGTAACCACATACAAACTTCCTTTATAACCCTAGCGTCATCGAACCTTAAGTGTGTAGACCCTACGGGTTCGGGAGACATGCAGACATGACCGAGACATTCTCCGGTCAATAACCAACAGCGGGATCTGGATACCCATGATGGCTCCCACATGTTCCACGATGATCTCATCGGATGAACCACGATGTCAAGGACTTAATCAATCCCGTATTCAATTCCCTTTGTCTATCGGTATGTTACTTGCCCGAGATTCGATCGTCGGTATCCAATACCTTGTTCAATCTCGTTACCGGCAAGTCACTTTACTCGTTCCGTAACACATCATCCCGTGATCAACTCCTTGGTCACATTGCGCATATGATGATGTCCTACCGAGTGGGCCCAGAGATACCTCTCCGTTTACACGGAGTGACAAATCCCAGTCTCGATCCGCATAAAACAATAGATACTTTCGGAGATACCTGTAGTGCACCTTTATAGTCACCCAGTTACGTTGTGACATTTGATACACCCAAAGCACTCCTAAGGTGTCCAGGAGTTACACGCTCTCATGGTCGAAGGAAGAGATACTTGACATTGGCAAAGCTCTAGCAAATGAACTACACGATCTTTTGTGCTAGTCTTAGGATTGGGTCTTGTCCATCACATCATTCTCCTAATGATGTGATCCCGTTATCAACGACATCCAATGTCCATAGCCAGGAAACCATGACTAT